CTTGTCAACGAAGATAAAATTCGTGAACTGGTGAGAGCAACTAAGCTGCAAGGGAAACAGATTCTGTCCCTTGAGGAGAGTCTCAATAAAAGCAAGGCTGGCTCTAAATGGATATCTTCTGAACGTGATAAGTTGCTGGAAGGTCGTCGTGCCTTTGAGGCAGAAAGAGAGGCTTGGTTGGCGGAGAAAGCGGCGATGGAGAAGGAGCTGGTCGAGACTCGTCTGGCCCGAGATAGGACTTCCGATGCTGCTAAAGTCTTCGAGAATGACTTGTCTCTGATAAAGGTTGAAGTTGAAAACTTCAGGGCGATCTTGAAGCGGCCAAAATGGATTCTCTCACCAAGTTCGTGGAGGGTTTTGATGCGGCGACTACACAAATCAAGTTTCTCCATGCCGATCTTGACATTGGGAAGATGGGGTATTTCAAGGAAATTGTTAATGGGGAACTCGTGGACCCTCCTGAGGACGATTGACGCTGTCCTTCAAAATTTGTACTCATCTTTATATTTTCACTTTGTGTTGCGTTTTTAATCTTAGGTTGTTGTTGTTGTTTTTATGAAGCACACTCTTTTTGTTCAATGTCATGTTTCACTAAATTTAAAAATTCACTCCCCAAAGTGAGCTTATTTCCGCTCAAATGCCAATGTCAAAAGATGATAAAATTTTTCTAAGTTAAACCAAGATGACTATACGGTCATTCAAATGCCGATTTCGAAGAATGATAAAAAATTTCTGAGTTAAACCAAGATGAATATACGGTCGTTCAAATGCCAATTTCGAAGAATGATAAAATTTTTCTAAGTTAAACCAAGATGGATATACAGTCATTCAAATTCCGATTTCCAAGAATGATAAAAAACTTTCTAAGTTAAACCAAGATGAATATGCGGTCGTTCAAATGCCGATTTCGAAGAATGATAAAATTTTTCTAAGTTAAACAGATATGAATATGCGTGAGGCTAAACAGCCACATTCCTATTGCTATATAATAGAATTTTTCCCAACTTAAAAATGAGGGTTCATGAGCTCAAATCGGGTCAATTCCGATTTATATTACTATAGAATTTTTTCTAATTTTGATATGAAAGTTCATGAAGTCAAACGACCCAGAATCCTAGACGGTAAAAGTCCGATGAACATGATTAGAAATTTTTTTTAAAAGTTAACAGAGATTTCATAAACCTAGCCGATAAGAAAAAATCCGATTAATGTAAAATCCGATTCAATTTATAGGGAATCTTTCAAGTTAACTAAGGCACTACGTGGGGACGTTCAGCCAAATTCCGAGTTGATATGATGGAAAATTCACCTGGTTAAAGAGTCGTCGCTCGTCCTGAGAATCGGTAATATATCAAATTCAGAATCCGGAAAATTTTCTGTTGAAATAAGCATCCTCCAAGCTACTCGGTTGAAAAGCGAGTCAAAGATTGAATAAATTTTCAAAGTTAACTGAGGATTTTTCCACGCTTAGTCGTCCAAATGCCGATCCACATGACAGAAATCTCTTCAAAGTTGAATTCTTGCGACTCCAATCGTCCAAACTTTGATTAATATGACACAGAAAATTTTCTAAGTGAAATATATACTTCGAGTTAAAAACTCCGTGTTGAGAGCTTTCTTCAAAAACGGAGCCTGACCAAATAATCAGTCATAAGCCGACTTGGTATGGACGTGCAAAGTTTCCTAAGTTAATACGGAAATCTTCCATGTGCTCGCCCAAATACTGACTAAGAAATGAGAAGAAAATATTTCCATTTAGGATATGACCTCATGATCGCTCAGACGCCGACTAGAAAGTAGAGGAAAGGAATTAAATTCCAAAATCAATTGTGAATTAAGATTCAAGTAGGAAAATCGTCCTTAAGCCGACGTGCCTGTCTTGGATCACCCAAATTCCGGCTAGAAAGACGAACGAGATTTTTCCGAGTTATTTATACTCGCGCAGTCGGACTTTTGCCGACAATCACGAGTTTTCGTCTTCGAGTTATTTATACTCGCGCAGTCGGACTTTTGCCGACAATCACGAGTTTTCGTCTTCGAGTTATTTATACTCGCCCAGTCGGACTTTTGCCGACAATCACGAGTTTTCGTCTTCGAGTTATTTATACTCGCCCAGTCGGACTTTTGCCGACAATCACGAGTTGTTGTCTTCGAGTTATTTATACTCGCCCAGTCGGACTTTTGCCGACAATCACGAGTTTTTGTCCTTAAAATAATACATGTTAGAAATCATGAAGGAAAATAGAATGGGATGATATTTATTAGAATTGAAATGAATGGTGCCTCGTTAAAAACCTTCTCAGCAAAAACCCCTCATATTTTTACGGGGACAAAACACTGAGTTAGGAAAAGAGTGCACCTAATACAAAGAGACTAGCTATAATAAAAGCGCAAATTTGCAGCTTTAAGGGCAGAAAGAGTTTCATCCTCTTTGTCAATGGTAATGAATGGCTGGTGACATCCTTGACACTACAAGAAATGTTACATATAGTGACATACAAAAAGTGTTACTATAGGTATAATATATGCAAGTATATATCTATTTAATATATAGTTACATACAATTTTAGTGTTGATTTTGAACAAGATTTAATAATATATTTTGTGTGTCACTATATTCTATACTCACTTTTTAACAATATACCAACATATATTATATTTATTATGTAGGTAAAAGTAATTTTTAGTAACACATATCGTGTCACTATAGGATGTGTGTCACTATATGACAATTTTCTTGTAATGTGAGCTCACTGGTGATCTCCAAAATCCCAATTATTTAAGATTTATAAATTATATTTCTTTATTAATTATTCTAAATTCTGCATTTTCAGTGTAATATTTCAAGATTTTCTTAAATATATCGATCGAAACGAAGTCTTTTAGCATGAAGAGATTAATTTTTCAAAAAACAAAAAAAGCATGAAGCGTTTAAATACTCTTAAAAATATAGATTATTTATTCAGACACATCCTAAGATTTTTAAGAATATAGATTGAAGGCATTATGTTTTATCGTCCATGCAATTGATTAGTCATTAACCATTTATGGTTTAACATCTTTTCACATTTTGATAAAAGTTTAAAGGAACTAAACCACCATTACCTCTAGAAGACAAATGATTCTAAAGGAGTGTTCAAGCAGTTGTGTTAAGATGATTACAAATTAAAAAATAAAAATAAAAATTGCAAGTAATGTTAAGAATTTAATAAATGGTGCATTAAAACAGTTTTTATATTGTCAATCAGATTATGATAAAGTTTAATTTGTTAAGTTTTACATTACTTTATTAAAAATCATTTAAAGAGTAATTTTTAATTAATTAGTATTATAAAAAAAATTAATACATATTCAAAATCATATTTTTCTATAAAAAAATATTATTACAATTCAAAACTAAAAGTACTTAAAAATAAAGATCAAAAGTGAAAGGTCGTACACCATCAATCACTGTCTCAACACGATGGCCATTGGCTTTAGTCATTGTTGAGGAATGAAGTTTTGGGGTTGAGAAAATGTTCAGAGAGCAGAGCCTGTTCAGAAGCGCTCCGAAACTGAAGGAGTGGAGGGTTGAGGGCGTATTAAAAGAGAAGGGAGAATGTGAGTAAACGACTCTGTGAAGCCGGTGAAGATGGTGCTTCCAAAGCTGTTCACCATGCTGTCTTCATTGACGAATCCATTTGAGTGTTGTTTCCATCGAAAAGGTGAAAGTGGCTTCTCGTTTTCTTCATCGTTTGGTGGATTATATTCGTTTAAACATTATTGTGCATGCATACGTGATGTTGATGTATATAAATCAGTATATTTAGAAAGCCTGGCAATGAACCATACATTTTTGGCTTTTTATATGTTTCATTGTTGTATTTATGTGCAACACTCAACGGACTTATCAATTTTATGAACAACTATATATTAAAAAAAACAAGAATTGTTTACTTTAGAATACTCCATAATAAGTTGTGTCTTACAAAAAAAAAAAAAACTAATAAGCAAATGAAAAAAGGTGAATAATTTTATGAAATTAACCATATTATTAATTTTCTTTACTAAAATCAGTATAATAGAACAATAATTTTCTGTACTAATGAAGACATTGGTTAAGGAATCGAAAGTAAAAAAACAATCATTGAAAAAGTGTATTGTTCATTCTCCTGATAACTTTATTATAATTTCCTATGAATTTTATTTTTATTTTGATTTCTTAACTAATTCTTTAGGCCACTGAGAGTAAGACCCTTCTAATATTTAGAGCATAAATAAAAAAAAAGTCAATTAATATTTCTTAAAAATTAAAATAATACTTATTTTAAAAAAAAAAACTCTCATACACACTTATTATAAAATGGAGTATTTTTTTTACATTAATCAATTAATTTCTATTTAAAAATGCAATAAGATTTATTGTAAAAGTGATGATATATATCCTTATATATGGCACCATCCTTTTCACCGATCGATGGTTATTGAGCCCTACGTTGTGTCTCAGCATATATTCGGCATGAGATGCTTATCCATGTTCCTTTTCAAGCAGAAGCTACCATTTAGCTGTTGACCAAATGTTGGACAGTGAAGTGTGATCTTCTTAGCTGGAATTTCTTTTCCTTCGTAATCAAAGATGTATAGCTGTTGGTCGATGATCTACAAGATTTTTTCTAGTAAATAGTTTTGTTTTGAATTTGATTAATTTTAACCATTTGTTGTCATGTAACACGTGGAAATAACTAAAATGATTTGCATAAAGTGAGTTGGTGTGAAGTTAATAATCTCATCATTAATTAGTAAACCAATAGTTGATATTTCAATAAATACATACATGATTTATATATTATGCATGTAAACATATGACCATTAGTTTTTTTTTTTTTAATAACTGAGATTATTTATTTTAATTATCTCCTCACTTTAAAGAAGCTAACATCTATATTAATAATAAAATATGTTCTTTAAGAATTATATAATAAAATAATAAATAACAATTTTCTAAGTAGAATTATAAATTATTATCTAATATATATGTAAGTGGAAGCCCTATAGGCATTGTGAGAAGTTTCCCTAATGAAGATGAACCTTTCTTGGATGAAGGCTGGGACAGCATCGTTGGAAGAGAAGAAAAAGAGGCACACTGTGAAGATGAAGAAGCTGAGGCGGTTTGTGATTCCTTGCAAGTCTTCTTTAGGGTTGTGGAACATGGTGGCCATCATGACGCCCATGAAGGTGAGCACCATGAGTCTTGAGAGGAAAAGCTCTGGGGTGCGCCTGATGATTATGAAGTTCCGCCGCATCAGCGTCCAAATCTCTGTTAGGTAAGAATTTGCAAACTTTGGACCAAGGTGTTCTTGTATCCCATTTGAGGGAGTCAGGTAGTCCTTCTCATTCACTGTGTAGTCACTGCTATGCGGTGTTGGAGTGGCTTGAAGGATTTCACTCGAGTATGTGTAGTACATAGGTGAAGCATTTCTGCACACACATGTCATTAAGCATATATAACAAGAACAATTAATAAGAACTCATGATAATTAATTATAGAATTGCATCTAGGTTTTGTGATTACCTTGCGTTATTCCGCGGCTTTTGATCATTCTTAAGTTTTGAAGGTGTGAATTTCAGAAAGGCTGCACTGTGACCAGCGCTCCATGACGTGGAAATGTTGTTATACGGACTCCTGAGACTGTGATCAAACTCATCAACGACCCTTCTACTGAGTTGCGGGGAGTGAGAGAAGTCCTGAGATTTTCCCTCAAATATGTGACTCCGGTGCGAGGAAGGTGCAGGCAACGGCGAGTGTTCGTGGTGGCCGTGAGTGGACAAAGGAGGGGGCTTAAGCCCCGTGCGAGCGAACTCAGCAAGAGCCTCAACTCCAAAGTCAGATTGATCATACTCTTGGATGACATCAATGAGAAGTTCAATGGGGTTCTCTCCTTTGGGAATCTTGCGTGGCATGTGCGCTTAGTGCTGATTGTTTAGTGAATTTGGCATCAAATCTATTGAGATGGGTGAAAAGCAAATATTACTTGAATTTCATAGATTTGGGATTTCCCGTTGACATATAATACAATAAAAATAATGTTAAGTAGACAATTCAAATTAGATTGACTAATTAGGGGTGAATCGAATGTTTATTATGATTATTATTATTTTGGTTGACGAGTGATTATAATTAGTTGATTACGATATATAATATATTTCGTGATATATCCGTATTTAAGGTCTTCTACTTATCGTGCCAATTGCATGTTCGATGATTTTTTTGTTTATCAAAGATAATATGGAGAGGTCAAGTTTGGCCTTATAATAAAGGTTTTGGCCATATATATTATTAGCAGACAAAGCTTGAAACAAAAATATGCCAGTAAATCCATTGGAAGCATCAAATTCGCTTTGTCGGGTATAGGCAAGCCAACTTGACTTTATCATTATGGAATATTAATATCTTAAAACTTAGCCAAACTGTATAATATATACACAATGAGGAAAACCTTTAGTTATACCGAAAAGGCTAATTTAATGAGTTTTTCTAAGATGATTTATTAATATATATGTCACCATGGATTAGCATTTAAAAATTTAGGCTAATTCAAAGTATAGGAAATTGAATTGAATTGAATTAATGTTTATTACTTTAATTTTTTTACTTGAAATGATATTTTAATGAAATTAAGATCAAGGATTTCAGAACTTTCCCAACAAACTTTTGCTTTGGGAATTTCAATTTAATATCTCTAGTCTTCCATAAACAAACAATACAATTTAAGGGCAGAAAGAGTTTCATCCTCTTTGTCAATGGTAATGAATGGCTGGTGACATCCTTGACACTACAAGAAATGTTACATATAGTGACATACAAAAAGTGTTACTATAGGTATAATATATGCAAGTATATATCTATTTAATATATAGTTACATACAATTTTAGTGTTGATTTTGAACAAGATTTAATAATATATTTTGTGTGTCACTATATTCTATACTCACTTTTTAACAATATACCAACATATATTATATTTATTATGTAGGTAAAAGTAATTTTTAGTAACACATATCGTGTCACTATAGGATGTGTGTCACTATATGACAATTTTCTTGTAATGTGAGCTCACTGGTGATCTCCAAAATCCCAATTATTTAAGATTTATAAATTATATAGCTCCTTGCCGACCACATCGTCAATTTTATAAGGACCGATCCACTTAGGTGATAGCTTGTTCCTCATTTGTGTCGCCTGAGCGCGCTTCAAAACGAGATCTCCCACCACGAAGTCTCTCGGAACGACCTTCGTGTTGTACTTAAAAGCCGATCTTCTGTGGGCTGCCACTTGATTTATCCTTGCTTTTACTCTTGTTTCGGCGATCAAGTCCATGTCAACTCGCCCTCCCTGGTCGGATTCTTCTTCAGAAAAAACCGTAGTACGTACTGAAGGTTCCACGATTTCAATCGGGATCATGGCGCCTGTCCCATACACTAAGTTGAATGGAGTATCTCGAGTCGATGAATGCACTGTTGTGTGATATGACCATAGTACCCGGGGAAGCTCCTCCACCCATGAAGCGCCTGAGTCTTGGACACGCTTCTTTAGCCCTGCGAGAATTATCTTGTTGGCCGACTCCGCCTGGCCATTGGATAGGGGATGCTCAACATAGGTAAATGTCATTCGGGTTCCGACCCCTTGACAGAATTCGCGGACTTTCGAGCTTGCGAATTGTGTCCAATTATCCGATACCAGGACTTGAGGAACACCGTATCTGCATACTACATTCTTCCATAAGAATGTTTTTACCTTCTCCGCTGAAATGGTCGCCACAGGCTCCACCTCGATCCACTTGCTGAAGTAATCCACCGCCACTATCAAGAATTTCAACTGCCTCACGGCTATCGGAAACGGACCGAGAATGTCAATGCCCCACTTGTTGAATGGCCACGGAGACAGAATTGAGTGGAGTCGTTCAGCTGGGGAGTGGTGCAAGGTTGCGTGCCTTTGGCACCCATCACATTTCTGAACCCAATTGACGCAATCATTCCTCAGACTCGGCCAAAAGTAGCCTGCCCTCGCCACTTTGTATACCAACGCTCGTCCTCCGATGTGACTCCCACACATTCCACCATGTATCTCGTCCATCACTCTTTGCGCTTGCGGCATGGTCAAACACCTTAGAAGGGGGGAACTGAAACCTCTTAGGTACAACCTTTCATTGATGACCACGAATCTAGCAGACTCCCTCTGTATCAACGAGGCTTCCTTCTTGTCCTCTGGCAATTCCTCCCGAGTCAGGTACGCAATGTAAGGCCCCATCCACAATTTGAGTTCCTCTTGGACGAAAAGTATACTCCCCTGTGTCCCATTAATACTCGACTGCGTTAAGATCTCTTGGATGACTGACCGAGTGGCTCCCGGCTTCTTTGTGCTGGCAAGTTTGGAGAGTAGATCGGCCCTCGAGTTTTGTTCTCTCGGTACGTGGTTAAGAGTGAACTCTCGGAAGTTTTCTGATAAGAGCTTAACCTTTTCCAAGTATTTGGCCAATTGAGGGTCCTTTGCCTGAAAAGTGACAGCTACCTGCCCCGTGATCAGTTGAGAGTCGCTTCGCGCTGACAAACTCGTCGCCCCCATTTCCTTTGCCAATGCCATGCCGGCCAATAACGCCTCGTACTCGGCCTGGTTATTGCTTGCTCGGAATTCGAAGCGTAGTGATTGTTCCAACAAGATTCCTCCCGGTCCTTCCAGGACGATGCCTGCTCCACTTCCTCCAAGGTTCGATGCTCCGTCCACTGACAAGATCCACTGCGTCTCTCCGACCTCACCCTCATCAGCGGGCGCGGTCAACTAATACCTGGGCTTTGATTTCCCCTCTCGGCTCATACTTGATGGAGTGCTCTGACAGCTCTATAGACCACTTCATCATTCTTCCTGCCAGGTCGGGCTTCTGTAGTACCGGCCTGATCGGATAATCAGTTCGAACTATCACTTCATAACTCTGGAAGTAGTGCCTCAACTTCCGCGCTGTAACCAGTATCGCGAGAGCCAATTTCTCAATCTTCTGATACCTCGTTTCCGCGCCTTGTAGGACTCGGCTTACGAAGTATATCGGAACTTGGGTTCTTTCCTGCTCTTGGACCAACACTACGCTGACTGCTCGGTCGGATGCCAATATGTAAACCAATAAGGGAAGATTCGGCCACGGTTTTGTTAGGATCGGCGGCGAGGCTAACGATTTCTTGAGTTCTGTGAAGGCTTCCTCGCACTCGTTTGTCCAGGCGAATCGATCGTTCTTCTTTAGGCATTGGAAGAGCGGCAACGCCTTGTAGGCTAACTTGGACAGGAAACGAGATAATGAAGCCATCCTTCCCGTGAGCTACTGCACCTCCTTCACCATGGAAGGACTCCTCATGTTGATGATCGCCAAGCACTTCTCAGGATTTTCCTCGATGCCGCGATGAGTCAGCAAGAAACCGAGGAATTTTCCCGCTTGGACTCCAAAAGAACATTTCTCGGGGTTCAACTTGAGCTGGTATTTTCCTATGGTTTCAAATAGTTCCTTCAAGTCGTCTAAATGCCAATCCAAACACATTGACTTTACCACCATGTCGTCTACGTAAGCCTCCACATTCCTACCCAGCTGGTCCACCAACACCTTGTCCATCAGACGCTGATACGTTGCACCTGCAGATCTAGACTCATCGATTTTACCACCATGTCGTCGACATAAGCTTCCACATTTCGGCCCAGCTGGTCCATCAACACCTTGTCCATCAAACGTTCATACGTTGCACCTGCATTTTTCAAACCAAAAGGCATTACCTTGTAGCAGTAGTTGGCCTGGTCGGCGATGAATGCAGTTTTGTCCTCGTCGGCTGGGTGCATTCAGATTTGATTGTAACCAGAATACGCGTCCATGAAGCTTAGCAACTCATACCCCGACGCGCCATCGACGAGGCAGTCTATATTCGGTAGGGGGTATGAATCCTTCGGGCACGCCTTATTTAGATCAGTGAAATCTGTGCACATTCTCCATTTTCCGCTGGTTTTTCGTACCATCACAACATTTGCAAGCCAGGTCGGGTATTGTATTTCTCGTACGAATCCTGCTGTTAGTAACTTGTCAGTCTCTTCAGTAATGGCTTTGCGCTTGTCCTCGCCAAACTTCCTCCTCTTTTGAATGACGGGCTTTGCACGTGGATCGATGGCTAGTTTGTGGCACATGAAATCGGGGTCCACTCCTGGCATATATTTGACGTGCCACGCGAACGCTGACATGTTCGCTTTCAACACTTCAATCAATTTCTCGGCGTCCTCCTGGCTGAGGGACGTACCGACCTTCACTTTCTTTCCTTCCGCCAACGTCACCTCCTTAATGTCCTCCGTAGGAGCTGGTCGGTGATCAAAATGGCTCACCCTGGGGTATAAATCGATGGAGTGGACCTCCTGCTCCACCTGCGCCGTATATAGTCGTCTTCGCGCCTTCAAACTGTCACCATAGCATTTCCGAGCAACCTCCTAGTCCACTCGGAGAGTTCCCACAGTACCGTTCGGTAACGGATACTTCACCTTCAGATGGGAAGTGGACACCACCGCTCCTAACTTGTTCAGGGTCGGCCTACCGATCAGTATACTATAAAATGACTGCGCGTTGACTACCAAATACCGAACAACCACCGTCTTCATCTGAGCACCCTGGCCGAAAGTCGTTTCCAGATCGGCATATCCCCTTGCGGTGACCTGGTCTCCTACAAAACCCACTAGAGTTCCTGCATAAGGAATTAGTCGATCGTTAGGTATCTTCATCCCCTCAAAAGTTTCCCAGAATAAAATGTCAGCGAAACTTCCCTGATCGATCAATACACGCTTCACATTGTACCCCATGACGATTGCTGATACGACAACGGGGTCGTCCTCATGAGGGGCTACTCCTTCGTAGTCTGAGTCCGAGAATGAAATCTCAGGCTGAGTAGGTCGCCTGAATTCCGATATTGTAAGTACCGACCGAGTGTATCTTTTTCGGGCAGCAGAGGTAGCTCCCCCGCCCGCGAAGCCCCCTGCGATGGTGTTGATATCCCCATGGCTGGGGTGCTGATGGGCTTCCGACACCTTTGTTGGCGCATCTTTGGGAGGAGTTCTCTCTCTACGCCTATCCCTCCTGGTGTCATCTCGCGTGTGTCTGGGTCGCCTATCTGACGAGCTTCCCTCCTACTTTCTCGCCACAAACTCCTTCAGTCGTCCCTCCTTGATCAAGCGCTCGATCTGTCTTCCCAAAACGAAACAATTTTCAGCCGAGTGCCCGTGAGTCCTATGGAACTCACACCAATCGGTTTTGAAAGGGCCCAACTGACGCTCCGTCGCCGCTGGGAACTCAAACAACGATGCGCTGTTGACATCATGGAGTATCTGTCGCCTGGGTACAGTGAGTGGAGTAAACTTCTCTTCTTCATTGTTGCGCGTCCACTCGCCCCTTGACCGACCACCGTGATCGGCCTGCCTGTAATTGCCCTCCTTCACGTTGTATCGGTCACGTCGTTTACTCCAGTCTGATCGCGGTCGAAGATGCTTGTTTCCCTCCTTATTGCTACCCCTTGTTTCTCGGTTCTCAACTGCTCTCTTAATATTCTGGTTCTCTTCTGTCTTGATGTGGCTCAAGGCGAAAGCCCTCACCTCCGACATCGTTTGACAATTCGCCCTTTCGAGCGCGATGTCGAAGGCTCCGGACCTCAAACCTTTCTGGAAAGCGATGACCGCCATCCTCTCGTCCAGCGATGTTATCCTCAAGGCGACCTCGTTAAATCGTTGTAGGAAATCTTTCAGAGACTCCTCACGTTGTTGCTTGAGGTCGAACAAATCCGACGTGATCGGCGGCTTCTTTTTGTTAGCAGCGAATTGTGCCATAAACATCCGACTGAAAACATCGAAGTCGGTGATGGATCGGTCAAGGAGGCCACTGAACCAATCCAGCGCCGCCTTCTTGAGTGTTCCCATGAATAGCTTGCAGCGGACCTCCATACTTCCCCAGCAAATCAACATCTGAGCTCGGAAATCCGTTAGGTGTTGACTGGGATCCTGCGTTCCGTCGAAGGGTTCGATCTGCGGTATTTGATGATCCCTAGGGATGGCCTCGGCCTCTATGGCTTCCGAGAAAGGCCGAAAATCCCTTGGGACTTCCAGCATGACATCCTCCTCCACTGTTCTGGTGTTGGCCTCTATTCTGGCCTGTAACTCATCCGCTCGCCTCCTGATCTCCTCGTTCTCGCGCTGAATGGCCTCCTCTCTCTCCCTGGAGCGTGCATTATCCTCCCACAGGCCATTGATCATGGCCATCATCTCCTCCATGGTAAGGGGTTGAGAGTTGTTGTTGTTGCCGCCTCTCGCCATGGTAAAGTGTAGGTCTTTCTGTATGACTTGGGGCGTAGGAAAAGTTTCACCGAAGCCCCACGGTGGGCGCCAAAATGTTCCGGCCAAAGGGTGGACTAGGATTTTTTCCTAGATCGTGCCTTAGAGCCAGAGCATTCAAAAGTGTAATCTGCCCTCTCCTCTCTAGGGTTTTTGGCTTTATAGTTTCTTGTTTACGGGCCTCATGGGCCCCGAGATTGTCGGGATTCTCCTTAACTGTCCTTATTTTAAACGTATTGTTTTAAACACATAAAAGCTAAATTGGCTCGTAATCGGCCTGGCCCATTTCGAGAGGTCCAATCGGACGTTGGCCGAGTGGGGTATCGGTCCTCAAGGAAACGGTTGGGACGCCACCTATCGATCGTAGGCCGAGGGGACTCTGGAGAAGGGAGGGGTGTCGGATCAAAACCGATAACGCCATACTTCGTGTTGGTCCAGCTACGGACCCACCGAGGTGGCGACTGAACTACCGTAACGGAAAATATCCTATCGGGATTTCGCCATTACGGTACAAATAGCAACAAGTTACTAATCTGTAATTCATTCCATTAATTTGTTTTATTAATATATCTAGGATTTATCAAGTGGAGCTTTACAAAGTTATCATGGTAAAATGGTAGGTTGAAGGTGCTTAATTAGTATCCTTATCTTCTTGGGGCATGATAAGACAAGTATATATACCCTTTGAGTTACAAATTGCAGTGGGCAAGAATTTAGTTGAGTGACGGCAATTCCAATTCGAACCTCGGCCAAAGTCATGGTTATTAATTTCACAAGTATTCATTCTGATTGCTAGCTGTCAGCTTCTCTTGAGCTTTATTTCCAGATAACGCATAACGTGAGGGCCACTTTTTTCTGGATATGTCTGCATTTTTTCTTGGTCTGAACGTAATACTAGGGTCACCTTGACCATGTTTTAATGGTCAATCTCTCTGTGCTATTAAATGAGTGTTGGAAGAAATTTTGTCCTTCTCTCCTCACACTTGATGACAAATATAGAGGAATCTGGAAGCCAGTGCTCGAAAGCAAACAAGACACTGCTTCAATTGGCTTCCTAGTCCTACGAATCAGGAATTAGTGTTACATAATATATAATGCCGTTTGTTGAACGGCGTTTACCATACTATTTACCATTATAATGACACTATATAACGTCCAAATTTACCATTCAGAGGCCTATTTTCATTGATGGACTCAAAGAGTATTATATATATTTTGGTTGGTAAATGGGTATTGAATTTGAAATTGGAGGTTGTTGTTGGTCATCCACTTGCAGTTTGAGTGCTGTAATTAGTAACAACTACTGGAATCAGCAAAACATTTGATTAATGAATTATCCCGCATTTATTAATTTACAAGGAAAAACAAAGAAACAAAAATGAATGTCTTGACATATAAATTGAGCATTTTACATCTATCATAGCCTGTTATATATAAGTAATTCTTGTACTTTTCTACTTAGCATATAACTAATGTAAGAAGAGTGTAAAAAGAAAAAGAAAATTGAGCATAAATTTATACTCCTTCCAATTTTTTTTTCATAACACTCCATTATTTAATTTATCAAGATTGATCAAGTTAGTTAATTTAGTTGGTAATATTAAATTTATCACAAATTTATAATTGTTTTTCAAAATGATCATAATATTAATAAAATTCTTACTCAACAAACTACTTATTGAATTAAAGAAAAAGTATTGTTATTTTATTAAGATGGCTAATTTTTATTAATAATTTCATAAAATTAAGATGATTAATTTTTATTAATAATATCATAAAATTAAATTTTGTTCCAAAAATATCTTTTGAAATGATTGGTTTAAATAATGATTACATTAAGTGACACTAAATCTAATTCAACAGATAAATATTTTTATTAACAAGTGTAATTTGTATTATTAATACATCAATAAATGTAACCAGTTTCATGAGAAAATAAAAAAAAAATCAGTAATTAATACATCTTAAAATAGGTACTTGTGTATTATAATTAGTATAAAAAAGTATGCTCATTTTTTTTATATATAAAGGATCGGAGTGAGTATATTTATTTTCTTTAAAAAAACTTTATATTATTCATTTTATTTTATACTTTTTCTCTTTCGCTTGGTGTCTTTCTTAAATTATAAAAAAATTGTTGTGAAAAGAAAAATACTAGGTAAGGTATAGGGATGACAAAAATACCCGTACTCGCGAGTATCTATGGGTAAAATTCGCTACGGATAATAAATGGATAGGCTAATTGGGTACCTACGGATAATGGGGACGAATAATTTTTTACTCGTTTATAAACAGGGAGGGGGTGGGTATAATGATATTCATACCTGCGGGTACCCGTTTAATAATATTTCTTAAATATCTTAATTATCATTGTACCACATAACCCTAAAACTACACTCTCTCATCTTTTTTTCTTACAAAAGTGAGGTTGATGAAGTTACCAACATGTGTTAAGCATGTTATAAAATTATGTTGGATGTAATTTGATTAATTTTCTATATTTGATTGGACCAATAAAATTTATGTATTTTAAGTTGTTTACTTTCATTTGGAATTATGAGATTGAATTATTCTACCTTTGTGATGAGACTTTAACTTAATTGATGTATTTTAAATTATTGATTATCTTGCATTTTTATTATTAATTCAACAAAATTAACGTTAAATACAAGTTCAAAATTAACATTGAATTTTTATTTTTAATATTTCAATTACATTAAATATAAACTTAAAATTATTTGTAATATAATTTTTTTAATTTCTTAAAAAATTTATAAAGATCCATGAATATTTGCGGGTATTCAAGAAATTTATAGATACTCACTTAATGGATATCCGCACGGATATGAGATGGATATAGGACCAATTTTTATCTAACAAGACGAAAGCGAATTTACTATTACATGCCTCGTAGGATTCCATCGTCATCCCTAGTGGCTAGTAAGGTAGTTGTTAATAGAATTGTTCTTGCAATTTGTGTCCTTCGGGAACGTGTTAGTTCTCAACTTATGAAAGATATAATGACGTGCTTTTTTTCCCGCGTACTAGACAAAAAAGAAGAAGAAAAAAGATGAACAATATATATTCCTTACATTTAAATAAATATATTTTCTTTAATATTAAATCATATTATAACTTGAAAAATACCATCGAATTGACATTCTATTTAACACTTTCTTACTAATATTTTTTACTACTAATTAAAAATTGCAAATTTTGATAGTCATATTATTAAATTAGGAAATATTTATTAAATTAGTAACAACAGTTACAAAATGTATGATTTGCAATAAATTTTAAAGAGAAAGTATTATAGAGAGTGTCACTCCATCAACATTCCTCTTATAACTTTATTCTCCCACCATGTTTGATTACATTATATTTGCTTATAAATATATAATTATTTATATTTAAAAATATTTTAAAAAGTTATAAAAGTAATTACATTTTAGAACATAAATAATCTAAACACACAAGTTATTATTAGTGATAATATATTTTTTATTATGTCATAAATGTGACATTTTTTATAATAAAAATAACTCATTTTTTTAGAGACCTTATAAATCTTTCACCAAGAATGATTATGTTTGAATAAAAAAAATCACTAGGAATGACAAAACTCTTCCTTCATTGTAACTTGACAACTAATTTTTAACTCTTATAACTAACTTTGAAATGCTAAAAGATAAAATAAATAATTTAGTTGAGTTTTTTTTTATAAGAAAAAATTCAATGACAATCATAATTATCGAACTTAAGTCTCATATATCTATATTGGTTCCATCACAAGGTTGATCCGATTGATTTTTTTGTCTATGTTTTAAATTTGAGGATATATACTTAAGATTTTTACTTTTCAAAGGCCAAAAACTAACATGATAAAACGTTACTACTAGAAAAATATTATTTTCTTGTGAATTTTCCTGCAAAAAAATATTCGTAGAAATTTTTTGCGAATTTTCTTGCAAAAAAATATTCGCATAATTTTTTTACGAATTTTACTCCAAAAAAATATTCGCAGAAATTTTTTGCGAATTTATTTACGAAAAATAATTTACAGATATTTCTTACAAATTTTGCTACAATTTTAATAATCATAGAAATTTTTTTCCATGGTAAAAATTTGCAGAAAATATTGTAAGAATTTTATTTTGTTTCTTGCAGATTTTTTTGCAAAAATAAATTTTCAAGTAATGTTTACTAATAAATTAGTAGAAAAATTTTGCAGGTAACTTTTTATGCGAATTTTCGTACAAATTTTAATCCTCAGGAAAAATAAAAAAATATTTAAATTTATAAGTTTAATATTTTAAAAAAACTTCAAGTCTCACATCGATCGAAAATAAAACAATTAAAGAGTATATAAGTTGAGACAACACTTACCTTACAAGTTGATTTGTATGGTTGAGTATTAAGCTTATAGTTTATAATCTTAGAATTTAAAAAATTATGTATCACATGTTGGAGGCATGGCAACAAATCTTTCGGATGAATTCATTGTGAGCATTTGAAAGTTAAAAAATTATTGATAGAATTTATAGTAATTTCTTTAATTTTTTTCGTAAAAATATTTCTGCAAAATTTCTTGTAAAAAAATTCGCAAGAAACTTTCTTGCAAAATTTTTTTGCAGGAAACTTTTCTGCAAATTTTCCTGCGAAATTTTTTTGCAGGAAACTTTCCTGCAAATTTTTTTGCAAGAAATTCCGCAGGAAAATTATAAAATTCGCAAAAATATATTATCCACGAAAGTATTACCTGCAGATAAAATTTCGCAAAAAAATTTGTAAGAGCAACATTTCCTGCGAATTTTTCATAAAAATTCGCAGAAAAAGTCGCATGTAATAAAAAAAATTCTAGTAGTGCGTTTAAAAGGATCAACTTACATATACATAAAAAAATTATAGAGAAAAACGGTAAAAAAAAAACCTCATTTATAAATGTTTGTCAATATTATCGTATTCTTTTACATTAAAATGAT